AAGTCAAGTCTCCAAAGACAGAGAGCGCTGCAACAGGTTTAGCCATTGAATTTTCAAAATAAAAGCATCACAAGCCTTTGTCTTCTTGCTTTAAGAGCAGTTGAAGTTTAACAATGAAAGACGTTTTATAACCACAGCTACAACTGATGTTCATGAAAGCAGCATGATGACACCGCCCAACTGCTAACGTACAACGCACCACCCAGCGCCGGTAATCCCACAGTTCAAAAAGCATTATTTATCCTTGACCAAACACGCTGCAGTCCGCAGTCAGTACGAAGCTCTTCTATGGGAACGAGACGTAAAACAATAAACAGTCACCACGTCTGGATGTGAGCAGCATCATTTCAAAAGATCAGTACCCTCAGATGACTCGTGTTGCATTTTAAATGCAAAAGAATAAAAAAAGCTCTACGGGTCAAATCTCTGGATCGTACATAAACAGGACTTGTCTAGCTCAGAAAGTAGCCGGGTCCTGTGTAAACGCTGGAAACGAGCTAAAAACAACCGCACGATGAAGAAAGAACAACAAACACAGCAGCTTGTTCCCGTCCGCCCACGTCAGCACATCAAATGACGGCGTGGATTTCACTCCGAGCAAAACAGACGCAGAGTCGCACGTCCATTCGATCAAACTCAACACGAGCGCGACTGTCGCTTCGAAAACATGGGTGGAAAAAAGTGAAACTCTCAGACGTTCTCCGATTGATCTATTCTTCACCAACTCAGATTGTAGAACTCCTTCCTTGCTTAATTCATTCCTTCTTTCCTTCCTTCTATCCTTCCTTGCTTAATTCCTTCCTTCTTTCCTTGCTTAATTCCTTTTTCCTTCCTTCCTTCCTTGCTTAATTCCTTCCTTCTTTCCTTGCTTAATTCCTTTTTCCTTCCTTCCTTGCTTGCTTAATTCCTTAATTCCTTCCTTCCTTCCTTGCTTAATTTATTTTTTCCTTCCTTCCTTGCTTAATTACTTTGTTCCTTGCGTAATTACTTCCTTCCTTCCTTGCTTGCTTAATTCC